ATCGTTCTGTGTACCAGATAGGATGAAGTTTGTCTTAGTATGTAGTAGTAAGGCCACACCAAGTAAATTTTATGTATGACGTCCTTTGGAGACCCTAAATCTAATGCGAGAGGGCGAAAAAAAAAACAAGAAGGGCCCTAAAAAACAAGAGGCCTAGATCTGAAAAATACCAAGAGACGACAAATGTTAGGGCACAAATTGAATAAGGTGACACGGTTTAACAAGCAAGAAGTCGTTTTATTTATCATCAAAACAGCAATAAATCAGGTGGAACAGCAGTTGTCGTCCTGTCCTGTTTTCGCGTTACGGGTTTCACGTCAATCTGACGATTTGTGGCACTGTCGTGACTCTTTGGTCATAGTTACAGGAATCGGAATTTCTTGTGTTTTTTTTCTAGGAACAGGTCAAAATCAATGCGCGCGCGGACGTCATCGATAAAATTTACTTGGTGTGGCCTAATAGTCTGCAACACATCTATCTCTAAACAGGTCTATTGTGCAGAGATGAGAAAAAAGACAGTAACCAGACTTACCGATGAGAGAAATCCGAAGCCCTGTTCCCAGGCGTCCTCCTGGTGGGCATCAGTCGGGAAGGTATAGGTCGGAGAGCGGTCCCCATGACGGAAAAGCTATGAGAGAAAACATCCGTCACTTGTGCAATTTTAAGGTGACAAAACTGGAATATTCTGAATAAGGCAATCTTTATGATATTGACACATACCGCCTCAAAATAACACATGTGTATCAGTATTTCATACGTTGTGCATATGAAATACGACAGTGCAGAAACAAGCCCCAAGATGAGTTGCTTTTTTTTCTGTGTGGTACACAAAAATTATCCCAGGAACCTAGCCGTTTTCCGTCACATTTCCCAGCATTTCTGCTCCAAGAATGTCGCTAGATACTAGTAGAGCGCTGTTTGAACTAAGTACTAGTATGTAAATAATTTGTGTGGGTGGGGTCGTGTGAGTGCTCGGCTCGGAACCAAGAGGTCCCGGGTTCGAGTCCTGACATACCACCGATTTTGTGCCCTTGGGAAAGGCACTTTACACGACTTCCCTTACCTCGCTCAGGTGAAAATGACTATTGTATTGTCCCCTGTGTTGGTGGCGACATTGATATAAGTTGAAAAAAATTGAGTGTGCCGTCACCACGTTTTGTGATTTCATGTTGGAATATAATTTTAAAAAATAATAATTTAAGTGATTAGATTTACTTAATCATATGTTGCCTATAGCAACACCAGTGACGTCATAAAATTAAGTCATGCATATTCAAACTGTCCGCCATCTTGAATAGTCAATATTGGATTTTCAAGATAAAGCCTAAAACTACAATGGAAATAGACTAAAGAGGTTCAAATTAACCATTTCTGTAAAAAATAATCGAAGTTGGGATGAAATTGAGGAAAATAGCCGGAATTCACCTGATCTAATAATATGGTCCACTATCTTAGATTTTGGCCAATGGCGTCATCAAATTAGTATAATTTGTGCATAATTTTTGATAGAAATAACATGAAGTTATATAAGATTTTGGCCAATGGCGTATTCAAATTAGCATAATTTGTGCATAATTATTGATAGAAATAACATGAAGGTATATAAGATGTTATTAATATTAGAAAGCCTTGTAAATAGATTAACATAAAAGCCTGAAAATTTCATTGTTTATGTCAAAATTACAGATTTTTTGCAAAAATGCCTGTCAGAAACCCATTGCCATGGCAACACAAATAATTATTAATTTTATCTCACTGAGCACTATGAAATTGTTGGCAACACTATTTTAAGAAAAGTCACCATGTTTGGTGGCCCTAACACAACCCGTTCGGACGATATTTCACATCAAATTTGGCGCGGGCACTTTCAGCCCCCCCAATATTCCAATATCCATGTCTATAAAGAATAAGATGATATGATTTAGGGCGTACGCTATTCCTATATTTAACATACGGACGTTTCTATGCATGAAGCAGCATGTGGATTGATTTGAAGTTCGTTAGGCCATGTTGATTTGATTATATGGATGACATCCTCTGGGAACCCCAAAACTGATGCGAGCGCGCGAATAAAAAAAAAAGTTTTGCCAAAAAAAAAGTTGCTTTCATGATCATATGAAATCTACGTTGTTATGAAGGTCGAACAAATGACACAGTATGTATCACAAATGACAGAGTATGGTATGGCGAATAATCTACTCTTTAAATTCATTTCTTTGCATTTTAGTTTTTTGTTTGATTTTGGCATTCTACGACGTTGGAATCGTTTTCAAAAATTTTTTTTTTGCAACTTTCGGTATATATTTGCTCATTTTGCAACTGTTTTGTACAATTTACAGTGTGGTTGGAAACTTTTTTTTGTTGTTGTTGGAAACGGCCGAAAATTAATGCGCGCGCGGATGTCATCCATATAATCAAATCAACATGGCCTTAGGTAATCAAAATAGTGGCGTCTTTACAAATCTAAAATCAAAATAGTGGTAAGATTCGTTTCGCGCATTCAAATTTTAAGAAAACCTAAGATGTTTTAAATGTTGACAGGTGAGTAAAGACTTGCTGTATTTCAACAGTTGACTGCCTTACAATGGTGTGGACATGCCATTGAGTACACGCCCATTTTGCCGACACGTGGCGGCCCTACACATTATCGATGCTTCTAACGCCAGCATATCTTTACACACACACACACACACACACACACACACACACACACACACACACACACACACACACACTCACACACACACACACACACACACACACACAATGTGACACACGCGCACACACACACACACAGGCTGCAGCGAACAGTGTTAACATGTTCAGCGCGATGTCAGACATGCCATATAATATGCACGTTCAAAATCTGGCTGCAGTAGTACTAGTGTTTTCACTCGACATATCTATC